TGGTTTAATCCACCATATGATTTCTCAAAAATCATACACAAGAAAACTAGTTACAAGATTGTTTGTTGAGTTCTTACCTCAAGAACAACCCCTCTTTCCTTGGATTTCCTTTGTTGTTGCTTCCTCCCCCCTATGGATTAGCTGAGAGAGTTTTCTGGAGCTCCCTCCTCTTAGTTGGTTCGAAATTATGCAAGAGGGAGGGTGGAGGAGTGTCCTACTCAATCACCTCCTATCAAAGGTGGGATAGGAGACATGGGATGTGTGATTGTCTCTTGGAGACTTCCTACCCACTATGTACGCCCCTCCCAGCTGCCTTCTGACTATTTGTGATACATAAAATCGTGGGGTGGCCCCCACTCATGTGGGAGGTCATCCCCTTATGCCCCGATGTGTATAATCGGCCCCGAAAGTTGTATTTTTCGGACTATTTTAGTCATATTTTATTTTATCGGGCCGGATAAAATATATCACGCGTTCCCAATAATTATGGGCCTTTAGAATAGATATACATTCCCCAACATTAATTTAGGAGTCTCCGAAACTCATTTCGGGCTGTTATCCGCTAAATTACCAATACCGGTAATTGGGCCCCGTTTGACCAACCGGTCAACTCCATGCCTTTCTTATGGCCCAAATAAAATATCCACCACCATATAGATGTCATCTAGACCAAGATGAATATAATATGTGGTTCGGGAATTATCGGGCGGTCCCCGTTCCCGCTGTGGGCCCCACATGCAATTTACTATTCACGTAAAAGAAATAATAAAATTTAACAATTACGTAAATTCATAAATCATCTTTCGAGGTTTATTACATAATTTACTAAAAGTAAATATGCTTGGGGACGGTGCTACAAGTTCACCCCCCCTTAACGGGAATTTCGTCCCCGAAATTCACAACGATTATTCAAATAGAAATGCATATTGTTCCTTCATCGAGGCTTCAGTCTCTCAAGTTTCTTCTTCAACTCGGTCACTCTTCCAAAGGATTTTAACCATTGGAACTTTCTTAATTCTTAGCTTCTTTACTTGCCTATCAAGTATCCTTACCGGTTGCACGACGTAGTTCAAGTCTTCCCGTATTTGCACGGGTGGTTTCTCTAGTACATGAGATGGATCCGGAATATACTTCTTAAGCATAGACACATGGAATACATTATGTATTTTCTCCAATTCCGGAGTCATCTGCAATCGGTATGCTACGGCCCCAATTCTCTCAAGAATTACAAATGGCCCTATGTAGCGTGGGTTGAGTTTCCCTCGGCTCTGAAATCGGATGATTCCTTTCCAAGGTGAAACTTTCAAAAATACCTCATCCCCAACCTTAAACTCTAAGGCTCTTCGGCGCTTATCGGCATATCTCTTCTGTCTATCCTGTGCCGTCTTAAGTCTGTCACGAATCATCTTTAACTTTGACTTGGTGATTTCCACCAGTTCCGTGCTCTCGAGTTTGGCCATGCCAACCTCATCCCAACACAAAGGTGTACGACATCTTCTCCCATACAATGCCTCGTTTGGAGGCATGCCTATACTTGCCTGATAACTGTTGTTATAGGCAAACTCCACGAGTGCCAAATGGTTGTCCCAACTCCTTTGGAACTCCAATGCACAAGCTCTCAGCATATCCTCTAATATCTGTATAACCCTCTCAGACTGTCCATCCGTCTGTGGATGAAATGCAATACTGAACTTCAGTTTTGTCCCCATCGATTCTTGGAACTTCGGCCAAAATCGTGATGTGAATCGCGGATCTCTATCGGATACAATGGTTATTGGAACTCCATGTAGCCTCACGATCTCATCCACATATAACTTGGCTAACCTTTCCAATGCATAGGTGGTGTTGATAGGTAGAAAGTGTGCACTCTTCGTGAGCCTATCAACCACAACCCATACGGCGTCATAGTTCTTAATCGTCCGTGGTAGCCCTACCACGAAATCCATAGTCACGTGCTCCCACTTCCATTCAGGAATGGAAAGTGACTGTAGTAACCCGACCGGATGCTGATGTTCTGCTTTAACTTGTTGACAAGTAAGACACCTACTGATGTACTCGGCTATTTCCCTCTTCATACCCGACCACCAGTAACTTTCCTTCAAATCACGGTACATCTTCGTGCCTCCCGGGTGAATGGCATACGCCGATGAATGAGCCTCTTCTAAGATGGACTTTCGGAGCTCATCATCCAACGGTACACATACTCGGTCACGAAATAATAAGAGACCATCGTCTCTCTCCCTGAACTCCTCAACCGGTCCCGCTAGCATTCGTTCACGGATTTTCATAAGTTCTTCGTCGGTTTCTTGACCCTTCTTGATTTCATCAAGTAATGTGGGCCTCACCTCGAATCTAGCTAACAAGGCACCATCGCTAGATACCTCCAATTGGGCTCTCAATGCTCTCAAGCTAGTCAATAATGCCCCAGATGAATTCTTTCGGCTCAAGGCATCTGCTACCACGTTGGCTTTACCGGGGTGGTACTCGATAACTAGATGGTAGTCTTTTATCAACTCCATCCACCGTCTCTGTCTCATGTTTAACTCTTTCTGAGTAAACACGTATTTCAGGCTTTTGTGGTCAGTGTATATATGACATGTTTCCCCGTAGAGATAATGTCTCCAAATATTCAACGCAAATACCACTGCCCCCAGCTCTAAATCATGAGTAGGGTAATTTACCTCATGCTTCCTCAACTGTCGTGAAGCATAGACAATCACCCTCCCATCCTGCATTAAGACACATCCAAGCCCTTGGATGCTCGCGTCACTATAGACATCGTACCCCATACCCTGTCGGGGTAATGCAAGTACCGGTGCCTCGGTCAATCTCTTCTTTAGTTCAAGGAATCCCTTCTCACATCGGTCATCCCATACAAACTTGGCCCCCTTTCGAGTGAGCTTCGTCAATGGCGACGCCAAAACGGAGAACTTCTCCACGAACTTTCGGTAATACCCTGCCAATCCAAGGAAGCAACGAATTTCCTTGACGTTCTTTGGCCTCTCCCATTCAGTAATGGCCTCAATCTTCTTGTTATCTACGGCAATCCCTGAAACTGAAACCACATGCCCGAGAAAGCCAATCTCCCTTAGCCAAAATTCACATTTGGAAAACTTGGCATAGAGTTGCTTCTCCCGTAGTGTCTCAAGAACAAGTATCAAGTGCTCCTCATGCTCTTCTTCACTCTTTGAGTAAATCAAGATATCATCTATGAACACAATCACAAACCGGTCCAATTATTTATGAAATACTCGGTTCATCAAGTCCATAAATGCCGCCGGGGCGTTGGTTAGCCCGAATGACATAATTAGGAACTCGAAATGACCATACCTTGTGCGGAATGCACTCTTCGGTATGTCATCCTCCTTTATCTTCAGTTGGTGGTACCCCGACCTCAAGTCAATTTTCGAAAATACCGTCGCTCCTCGGAGCTGATCAAACAAGTCATCAATCCTAGGCAAGGGATACCTATTCTTGATTGTGACCTTGTTCAGTTGACGATAGTCAATGCACATTCGAAGTGTCCCATCTTTCTTTTTCACGAAAAGGACCGGTGCTCCCCACGGAGAGTGACTCGGCCTTATGAAACCGTTATCCAATAGCTCTTGCAATTGGGTTTTCAACTCGTTAAGTTCAGAGGGTGCCATTCTGTATGGCGGTATAGAGATTGGTTTGGTGCCAGGTTCAACCTCGATCACGAACTCAATCTCCCTATCGGGTGGGAGTCCCGGCAAGTCTTTTGGGAAGACATCCGGATACTTGCACACTACTCTCACATCATTGATGTCTATCTCTTCTTTGGTTTCGTCCACCACATACGCTAGGTATGCGTGGCATCCCTTTCTCATCATATTCCTCGCCCTCACGGCGGATATGATACAACTGTTTGATTTGCCTCTATCTCCCTCGAAGCGTAAGGTCAACCCTTCACCGCCTTCGAGTTCAAGAATCTTTGTGTAGCAGTCGACCCTAGCATGATGTTTCTCAAGCCAATCCATCCCGAGGATTGCATCGAACTCGATCATACTCAGTGGTACGAAATCACACGTCAAGTTCTGTCCCTCCACCTCCACCTCACACGATGGATAGTGGCTATCTCTCTCGATATCACCCCCTAGAGGCGTGGACACCAATAGGGTTTGAGTCATCGGTACAAGTGGTCCGTTGAATCCACTGGCGAACGCCTCACTCACAAATGATCGTTGCGCCCCAGTATCAATAAGGATCCTTGCGTCTCTCCCGTTTATCTTTAGTGTTCCTACATTCATAAGTAATGTAAGACACACTATCTAATTAATAGGCTTGTTTCTTAAGTCGTAGAGTATGTTGGTCGTGGTTCGGGTGAAGTCCGTTCGACACCCTCCCGAAATTCCCCGGTTTCTAACATTTAGAACCGCTCTAGGACTAAACCAGGTGAAAGCCGACCGCTTTTCACGAAAGCCGGCCGGTTTTCGTCTGCGAGAAAAATCCCTGTATGTAAATCACGAAAGCCGGGTGGCTTCCACGAAAGCCGGCCGGTTTTCGCCGCCGCAGTTTTTATTCATGGGATGGGTTTCGAAGCCGGCAGGTTTCTACGAACCCGGCCGGGTTTCAGCAGCGCGGGAATCCCCAGGCCCAACGAAAGCCGGGCGGCTTTCGCCAAAGCCGGGCGGCTTTCAGCTGCGAGAAATTTCCCAGGTCAGGCATTTATGAAAGCCGGCCGGTCTTTACAAAAGCCGGCCGGTTTTTGGTTGCGAGGATTTTCCTGATTAAATGTTGACGAAAGCCGGGCGGTTTTTGGTGGAAACCGGCCGGCATTCGTCGCTGCAGTATTTTCCCAATAATTCAAGACGAAAGTCGGGCGGTTTTCGTCAAATGCCGGGCGGCATTCGCCCAGGGCGGGGATTTTTCCTCCCCTTTCCCCTACAATCCCGACCAACCGTCGGGGTTACAAATTTTGCACATTACAAACACTCCTATTGCATACAATGGAGTTAATAACATGAGTTTAAGATTTTACCCGCCACGGAGTCCGGGTTAGCACGTGTGTCCGCCTCCGTCATCGCATAAACCCTAGCCTGGGTCTTGCCTTGGTTCACGGATGGCGCGTTGCTTGTACTTGGCCCTCCGTGCATCGTGCTCGCGTGAGGTGCCCCTGCTCGGTTCCTACTTGTCGTAGTCCCGCTGCTAGGTCCTGCACCCATGACTCGCCCAAGTTGTGGGCAGTTTGATGTCAAGTGCCTCGTCTCCCCGCATTGGTAGCACCTAGGGGGATCGCGGCACTTGCCCGCGTGGTTCCTCTTGCAGTTGTTGCACCTGCTAATGCCCGAGCCTTGCGACCTCGAGCCTTTCCCTCCTGGGCCTTGGTTTCCCCTAGATGGTGGTGCGGGCGTTCTGAAAGACCCACCTCCCCCGTGGTTCCCCTTCTTGCTAGAACCTTGGGGGCCGGTGTTCTCCCATTTCCTCTTCTTCGCCTCCTCGGCGTTTTTCAGCTTTCTTTCTTCCCATTCCTTCTCCCCTTTCAGGCCTTGCTCCACCACTTGACTAAACGTCATGTTAGGCAATTGTGTTGCCCGTTCACGCACGTCTAAGTCTAAAGCATCCCAAAAGTGATTCACCATCCGGTTCTCATCACAAGCATACTCCGGTATAAACTCCGCGAGCTCCCTGAACTTGTGCTCAAGTTGCCTCACGGTATACTTGCCTCCTTGGGTCAAGTTGGTGTATTCTCTCCTCTTCAAGTTCACCTCGAAGTCGGAGTAGTATTGGTTGAAGAATTCCTGTCGGAAATTCTCCCAAGTTACGGCCTCACCGTACTTCCCTTTGACACCGTCCCACCATGTGGACGCCATCCCCTCTAGCAACCTTGTTGCTACTCTCATCTTCATGTTTGGCGGCAGCTGCATATCAAGGGCCGCTTCATTGAACCTCTTGATCCACTCCGCCGCAACAAATATATCTCCCGTTCCATCGAACGGTTTACACCCCAGGTCTCTTGCTTCCTTGAGGTACTTCGAGATCCTTATTATCGGGACCTCGACACCTCGATCTACTCGGGACTCTACATGTTCCCTAGAACCCGCATGGCTTCCCCTTCTTGAAGCCCCTCCCAAAGCACGCCTTGCCCGGCGCCTTTGGCGATCCTGTTGAAATTGACGGAGTAGTTCCTCCATCCTTTCCAGAGCGTCATCATCGTCGCTCCCCTCACTAGCATCATCATACTCCCCATCATATGGGGTCTCAACCGGCTCAGTTCTCGGTTGATACGTCGAATCCTCCTCGGACTCATAGGACTCGTTGACTGTTTCAACATAACTGTCACTCACGGTCTGATCTTGGCCTCCACGGACCTGTCCTCTGGACGCCCTAGAAGCCCCTCTACTACCTTGCACGGATCCTCCCGGTGCTCGGTCAGTCGGGTTCCTTCTAGTTACTTTCCCGGTACGTTCCATTTCTGAAAGAAATTGAGAATGAGTCATTAGACTCGTATCAAATGTCAATTGACGGATAGGTACTTAAAGACATCCTTTGGCTCAAATCACCGCCATACCAATTGCTAAGGGTACCATCTTAACAATTAGAGACATTGCAACTTAAGTACCAAAAGTTCTATAAGTACAAAACCTTATGCTCATGATTTTCAAATTCATTTTCAAAAAGAAATTTTGAAGCTTCATTATGATGTTTACGGACTAAGGCTCTGATACCAATTAAATTGTCACACCCCGGACCTAGCCGGACACGTCAACAACCCGCCGTACGGTACGAATAGTCAACCGCAGTCCAACTCATCCATACTATACAAGGCGTCATGAATATCATTCACACATAGTACATCCATAAACAAACATAATGTAAAACATTCATTTAAAACAGCGGAAGCATTTAATAAAAGTGTATTAGCCACACTTTGGCGAACATGGGCATGCAAGCCCCCAAATAGTTATTCAAAATAATATCCATGAGCATTATTATAACTGTTTTGAAATCAGAAAACAGAAGAAGCACGAACCACGTCTTCTCCTCTGAATATCCCGAGCAACGGGCACCAGTAGCAACCTTCAAGTCCTACCTGAAACTGTGAGGTGGCCTCCCCCGTGAAAGGGAGGTCAGTACTTGGAAATATTTTACAAGTACAATAGCAACTATACTAAGTATAATCAACGTTTTAATTTCCAACACCCTCGACTTAGGGTACTATTATATTATAGGCCATAACCCTCGGTTACCCCTTTTTCTTTTAACTGTATTTACTTTATATAAAGTCAAGTAGTCGGCCCGTAGGCCCATATTCATTTAGAATTCATCGTTTCCATTCCCCCGTGACCGCAAGTCACGATAACCCCGTGGGGTCCCATCGAGCCCCAATTGTATAGCATGAGCTCGGCGCAACTACATTTCTATACAATCCTCTAACTCAATATATCATATCAAAATTTGTATGGCAAGGGCTCGGCCCAACTACGTTTCCACGGAGGTCACATATACATGGCAAGGGCTCGGCCCAACTACGTTTCCATGTTAATCATATTACATGGCATGGGCTCGGCCCAACTACATTTCCATGTCATCCTAGAGTCCAACTCTAATTATTTTCATAATCAAATTCTCAAGCAATTCCTATGCCTAGAATCAATTTCCGTAGGTAGCCTTTAGGCCTACCCCTATCACCTTAGTGTTCACACAATTCAACCTTAAAGTATCTCTTGAGCTACTTAAGGCATATCTATTCCCAATCCTACCTCTTAGGATTTATTTCATCATTTATTTATATTAATTCCCCGACTAGTATTTTGATACTAATTGGATAATCTTAGGAGATGCCAAGTTCCTATTTTCCAATTGACTTTTCATTTCAATTGATTTCCCAACACAAGTATAGTTTGATCTCAATATCAAAAATATCACTTTACTCCGTTCATGAATTTCATACATGGCGTAAAGTATATTTTATCACAATGTCATCATAGTAATTCCATTAATATGCCGTTCTATTTATTTCACAAAATCATACACAATTATTCTGAATTTGTATATCATGCTTCACTTACTCATATCAATATCATTTTCATTTAGGCATTATTAATCATTAATAATCCATGAAAATCCCATCTAATTACTTTAGGCCATCTTATGAAATTAACTCACTAGTTATAAGCAATATAGTCAGCCATCCTCACCTCGTGATGTGCTACAATAGTTGCCTTTGATAAGCCCCTCGATAAATCCCCGTTCTAAGCCTTTTGAAAGAGAAAAGCTGGATTTCTGGGCCAAAGCCGGGCGGCTTTCACGAAAGCCGGGCGGCTTTCGTAGTCTGCAACTACGAACAGCTCCCTATATGTGGCGGTTTCCGGCGATTTCGACTCCTATCGATTCACCAACTCTTCTAAGTTAATTAACACCACTTTATAACAATATTCTACACTTTTAAACGTGTAGAACTCATGGTTTAATCCACCATATGATTTCTCAAAAATCATACACAAGAAAACTAGTTACAAGATTGTTTGTTGAGTTCTTACCTCAAGAACAACCCCTCTTTCCTTGGATTTCCTTTGTTGTTGCTTCCTCCCCCCTATGGATTAGCTGAGAGAGTTTTCTGGAGCTCCCTCCTCTTAGTTGGTTCGAAATTATGCAAGAGGGAGGGTGGGGGAGTGTCCTACTCAATCACCTCCTATCAAAGGTGGGATAGGAGACATGGGGTGTGTGATTGTCTCTTGGAGACTTCCTACCCACTATGTACGCCCCTCCCAGCTGCCTTCTGACTATTTGTGATACATAAAATCGTGGGGTGGCCCCCACTCATGTGGGAGGTCATCCCCTTATGCCCTGATGTGTATAATCGGCCCCGAAAGTTGTATTTTTCGGACTGTTTTAGTCATATTTTATTTTATCGGGCCGGATAAAATATATCACGCATTCCCAATAATTATGGGCCTTTATAATAGATATACATTCCCCAATATTAATTTAGGAGTCTCCGAAACTCATTTCGGGCTGTTATCCGCTAAATTACCAATACCGGTAATTGGGCCCCGTTTGACCAACCGGTCAACTCCATGCCTTTCCTATGGCCCAAATAAAATATCCACCACCATATAGATGTCATCTAGACCTAGATGAATATAATATGTGGTTCGGGAATTATCGGGCGGTCCCCGTTCCCGCTGTGGGCCCCACATGCAATTTACTATTCACGTAAAAGAAATAATAAAATTTAACAATTATGTAAATTCATAAATCATCTTTCGAGGTTTATTACATAATTTACTAAAAGTAAATATGCTTGGAGACGGTGCTACACAACGAAGCTAGTTGCTTCGTCAAATCATGAATGTTACACTTGATCTCAATTTAAAATACAAAAATACTAACTTGCATTTGGAAATAATGCACATTTTATAGAATCTTTTCAATAACATATGTGTCTGCGAATGCTTTAAAAATTTATTAATTGTGCAGAATTCGATAAGTATATGTGCATTATAATAAAAAGCATAGCAATTAATCTAAAATATTTTTTAGATGCACTTTTATCCAAATCTATCTATATACAAAGCACCGTGGAAACAATGGCCAAACTCCCGCTCAAAAACGTCATAGTCATGGTAAAAAAAAATTGTTTTGCATCGGCCGACAAAAAAATGGGTAAAGTTATTTAACGACTAACATGATTGAGAGACAAGTGATGTCCATTCCCACACGATCACCATATTGACCATTGGATATTACCCGTGACATACAACATGCAAATGTCTCACATGATCTCTTCTTCTTGAATGATGTAAAAGGTGTCAGAGTAGACTGTGGGCTTGGGGTTTTCCATTATACCGAGTAAAAACAATTCAAAAACAACTCCATGTGTTTCATTTTAAAAAAACTCTATATCATCGATTTCATCCGTCAGGACCGCCAATGCGCCAAGGAGGTAGGACAGGAGCCTAAAAGTTGGAATCGCCTGCTAGCCGTCATATATGCGCCCCCATATCAGGTGAATGTGAGGAGGCAGTTGACGTGCACTTTGTCACGGTGCGTCAAAATAAATTCCATACTAACACTTATACGTAGTATAGCGTAGTAGAGTTCGTATCCACGGAGAAAGGAATACTTCTCTTTTTATGAAACTATGTAAATAGGGGGGGGGGGGGGGGGGGTTGGATTGAATGATTTAATTTAATAAGAAACTAAGATGAACGACTTATATGAGATTTAATTCAAAGATAAAAAAGGACTTGACATTGCTACTTTCCGCTTGTTGATATATTTTAGTCGATCGTTGTTATATCTATAACTTATTTCCTCTCGAATACTCAATCGAGGAGTATATCCAATTCATCGAGGATAGTTATTAACAACGACCGTTCATTAATAACCCTTACTATTAGCCAAGTATAGAACACCGCCATATACCGACTTGATAGTAGCATTTAATCTCTTAACTCCTTGATGAAATCAATTAAGATCGATAACCTCAACACAACGGTTTCGGTTTAACCAACAAAATTAATCCCTCTTAAGTTTATCAACCACGACCGTGCATTAATAAACCGAAGTTACTTACTTGTGAAACCATCAACGATTAACCATCGGTTCATTGATCGTTTCTAGTAATAATTAATATATGAAACAAAACTAGTTGATCCTTCTAGTAATGTCAAAATATTAATATGAAATATGAATAGGAATTAATTAATATTCAAGGAAGAATATTATTAAAGGAGATGAGTCCTACTATAATTAATATCAAGATGTTAACTAATTGTCATTTTAGCAACACTCCCCAACATTAATATAGAGGAAGAAAATACTATTCTAACTAATGTCGAGATGTTAACTAAATGTCATCTTAGCAACACTCCCCAACATTAATATAGAGATAGTATTAAGGAAAGAACTATTAATTAATATTCAAGGAAAGAAGTTAAGAAAATAACTCACAACTTTAATAATAACCAAGCTTCAAGAGCAACACCAAGAATGGAAGTTTAGCTCCTCATTTGGAGACTAAACATAGCTAGAAAAATATAAAGAAATGTTATTCTAAACTGAGCTTAAGAGAATGGAAGAAGGGATGGGAATTTGTGAAGAAGAAGTGTGCTATTTATAGGTGTTTTTCAACACTTTTGGCCGGGTACCCGACCGGGTATAGTACTTACCCGACCGGGTACTGGTGAAAATCAGATAATCTTCCACGTTATTGTGTTTCAGCACGTTAAAATGTCCCGGGTCAAGTCAGACCCGACCGGGTGGCTTAGTTGACCTGACCGGGTTTTGTAAAAAATCAGATATTATCTACATTCCGGTGATCTTTGGCATGTTTTGGTGTTCCGGGTCACATCTGACCCGACCGGGTCAAGTAGGGGACCCGAACGGGTCTAGCTCTTTCCTCAGGGAATCGGTTTTCAAATAAGACCCGGCCGGGTTCAGGGTCTGACCTGGCCGGGTTTTGCGCTCCTGAACATTTTTATCTTCGACTTATTCTCCTTTTCCTTGCTAAAAACACTACCACTATTCTACAACTATACATGAAAGCTAAAGACAATTACAAACAACATAAAACAAATGTTTACAAACTAACTAAAAGTGATAGAAAATCTACACAAAGTTAATACAAAAATATACATTTATGCACTATAAACTAGTGCATATCAGCAGTCTCCCATCTTCATCGGGCAACGTACAGGTGCGGGTCGGTCGGTTTCCCAGGGCAGCTTTCGAGGTTGGCGGTCCGGCTCTGAAGTGTCAATGTAGCTCCGAGGCATCAATGGCTCCCAGGCAGAGGCCGACTTCCCAAGCAGATTCCCAGGACGGCAATCCAAGCCGCAGGACCTCCTCACGGCAGCTGGCGGGATTTCACACGCGCTTCCGGATTTCAGGTGACGATTTGGCCTGGGCGAGGCAGGAAGCGTCGTATGAAGAAATGGTTTCTCAGAGGTTTGTGAAGAAGATGAGGGTGTTTCATCAGCCTTCTTAGATCAAAGGGTCATTTAAGCCAATAAAGAAAATGGGAAGAAGTCAGGTTAGTCTTTTTTTAATTTTCTCGGTCTTCTCCCTTTCTTTATGCATTTAATTCCACAAAACTTGGTGTGCACGTATATATTTGATCTAATTGTGTTTGACAATATAATCTGAACATCTTTCTTTCTATTGAGATTGTTATTAATATGGAGTATGAAATCCTTTGCTCTTTTGGTTCATTTCTTTGTTGGTTAGAGAAAAATATAGAGTTGGGTAAGAAACGTAGTACTTTTCATATCAGCGTCATGTTTTCCGCGAGTCTTCAAACAACTTCAACTATTCAATTTTTTCAAGAAAAAAGTTGAAGTTCACAAAAATATTCTACACTTCCTTTACCTTTTAACCAGAATCTAAGAGGCACTAGATCAATATAAATCGTGGAAGAAGAATCACTCATGTATGTGTCTAAATTGAAATAAGGAGTTTTAAATCCTCCAATTAAAAAAGAAAAGAATAAAAGGAGCTCAAGTGCTTTTATTTTTCTAAATTCTTATAACCTTTTGATATACATTATCCTTTATTTTCTTTTAGTATACTAATGCATTGTATTTTATGAAAACTAGAATATATGAGTATTATTTTACAAATAATAAGATATATGTTTTTATTAAATTTTGTATGATTTTAGTTATGCGTGTAGCTTCATATTTTCTTATCTCATTTGCTTATCTCCTCTTTCAGGTTGAAGTAGTGTTATCCTATAAGCCAATAAAGTTTTATGCTTATTTTAGTGAAAACATCGGGTTTTCTCATATTCTGATTTTGTGACATGGATGCAAGTTCTATATATTGCAGTCCAGTTCATCTTAGTTATTTATATTCACACATAGCTTATTGGTTATGAAGACATTGGTATCTCTTAGTTTACTATATTTCAGCAAGTAGTGGCTTAGTTTACTTGGTTGGAGTATAGAGAACTCCAAGCACAACTAGAGTTGTAATACTGCAGAAGTAAATAAGAAAAATACACTATCAGGACCCAAATAGTAATTTGACCCTTAATGCGTTAACAAACTAACAATGAAAGAAGATAGATTGGAAAAACAATTGCACATACAATTGATCCAAAAACAAGATTTCTGACTTCTCATCCAAGCTTAAATCTTTAACTTGAATTCCTGAATATGTTATAGTTGATGTCTGACTGCTCTATCAGCCCTTTCAGAACAAAACTGCCTCTATGTTTATCTTAAAGGGGATTGAAAGGGAAGTTGGAGAAGGTTGAGGGGTAATATCTATAGTGATCTTCATGTTCTGTTCATAAATTTGTATATATTTATTGGGCGCCAAATGAGGCAAGAGTGCAGGAAAGAGCTTGAAGCTTTGAGTCAATATGGTCCTTAATGGGTTGGGTCACACCGGCAGCAAGTTTGGTAACCAAGAAAGTGTGATAGGGTTGCTTTATGTAGAGATAGAGTATCATGGTGGTGGTTAGATACATGGGTGATGTCATCAACAGTGTAGTAGCGGGGCTAGGGACTGCACGTATTACAGAGCGGCCGCAAGGCTGAAGTCTGCAATTGTGGCCTGAGTAGTTATAGGCGGAGCTGTGGTTGGATTGGGAGTGACCACAAACAAACTGTGAAAAGATACATGTCCATATGAGTTTGTTTTCCTATCTTTTCTATTTGGATATGCACGTTTGTGTGTGTGGTGTGTGTATGTATT